ACTGTGAGACCCAGGGATCTGGGAAAGGGGGAGCACTGGGTTCGGGGAAAGGGGGAGCACCCGTTGGCGGGTAACCCCAATGAAGACAGGGCTGTGAGCCTGAGGGAGAACCCGCAGCATAACAATTCCACATATAGATGGAAAAACGTAGAGGGAACATTTCCGTGGACCCAAAAGTCCCAGCGTGGTGCTAGAAGGCACTAGGTTCAAGGGTCTGGGGAGGTGGTCTCCCCTCTAAGTCAGTGCTCATCCGAAGGCCCTTACAACATGTCGGGTATTTAGGTATTCTCCCCTTAAAAGCCTAAAAATTCAGTGCACGATGTTTTAAAATTCTGCCTATTTTATGCGTCAAAATAACACCACGTAACCACAGCCCGTTCGATTACTAGGTTAATTCATTTCAAAATACCTGTCGGCAAGTACGAGTGTAGCAACAGAGACACCGAAAAAGATTCAGGACAAACCGATTCCCCGCAAGGCTTACGAATACAGAACTTGGAGCGATGGTTCGTTTCAACGACACTAGAGGACCACGTTTCCTGCGCCCCTTGGAAGCTGGGCACTGGCTTGGGGGAGTCAGGGTTCATGGAGGTCAGAGGGAGCGGGAAGGGTCGTGGGTGTGGACCTGGAGGGTGGTTGGGTGTGGGTGGGAGAAGTAAGGAACGGGTTTGTGGGAGACGGGCACCGAGGGATTGTTAGGGAACCCACCCCAGACAGATCCTGGCTGCCCCCTAGCCTCTCCCATTCATTCAGGCACATCTGTGCCTGTCCCCAAGTGGCCCTAAACCCCCTCGCATCTCAATGAGTCCTTCTCCCCCATCCCTATGTATCCCTGCACCCCCACTCTGCCACCCCTTCCCCATGTGTCCCTTCCCCCCTTCCCCATGTATCCCTGCACCCCAACCCTGCCCCCCCTTCCCCATGTGTCCCTTCCCCCCTTCCCCATGTATCCCTGCACCCCAACCCTGCCCCCCCTTCCCCATGTGTCCCTTCCCCCCTTCCCCATGTATCCCTGCACCCCAACCCTGCCCCCCCTTCCCCATGTGTCCCTTCCCCCCTTCCCCATGTATCCCTGCACCCCAACCCTGCCCCCCCTTCCCCATGTGTCCCTTCCCCCCTTCCCCATGTATCCCTGCACCCCAACCCTGCCCCCCCTTCCCCATGTGTCCCTTCCCCCCTTCCCCATGTATCCCTGCACCCCAACCCTGCCCCCCCTTCCCCATGTGTCCCTTCCCCCCTTCCCCATGTATCCCTGCACCCCAACCCTGCCCCCCCTTCCCCATGTGTCCCTTCCCCCCTTCCCCATGTATCCCTGCACCCCAACCCTGCCCCCCCTTCCCCATGTGTCCCTTCCCCCCTTCCCCATGTATCCCTGCACCCCAACCCTGCCCCCCCTTCCCCATGTGTCCCTTCCCCCCTTCCCCATGTATCCCTGCACCCCAACCCTGCCCCCCCTTCCCCATGTGTCCCTTCCCCCCTTCCCCATGTATCCCTGCACCCCAACCCTGCCCCCCCTTCCCCATGTGTCCCTTCCCCCCTTCCCCATGTATCCCTGCACCCCAACCCTGCCCCCCCTTCCCCATGTGTCCCTTCCCCCCTTCCCCATGTATCCCTGCACCCCAACCCTGCCCCCCCTTCCCCATGTGTCCCTTCCCCCCTTCCCCATGTATCCCTGCACCCCAACCCTGCCCCCCCTTCCCCATGTGTCCCTTCCCCCCTTCCCCATGTATCCCTGCACCCCAACCCTGCCCCCCCTTCCCCATGTGTCCCTTCCCCCCTTCCCCATGTATCCCTGCACCCCAACCCTGCCCCCCCTTCCCCATGTGTCCCTTCCCCCCTTCCCCATGTATCCCTGCACCCCAACCCTGCCCCCCCTTCCCCATGTGTCCCTTCCCCCCTTCCCCATGTATCCCTGCACCCCAACCCTGCCCCCCCTTCCCCATGTGTCCCTTCCCCCCTTCCCCATGTATCCCTGCACCCCAACCCTGCCCCCCCTTCCCCATGTGTCCCTTCCCCCCTTCCCCATGTATCCCTGCACCCCAACCCTGCCCCCCCTTCCCCATGTGTCCCTTCCCCCCTTCCCCATGTATCCCTGCACCCCAACCCTGCCCCCCCTTCCCCATGTGTCCCTTCCCCCCTTCCCCATGTATCCCTGCACCCCAACCCTGCCCCCCCTTCCCCATGTGTCCCTTCCCCCCTTCCCCATGTATCCCTGCACCCCAACCCTGCCCCCCCTTCCCCATGTGTCCCTTCCCCCCTTCCCCATGTATCCCTGCACCCCAACCCTGCCCCCCCTTCCCCATGTGTCCCTTCTCCCCATCCCCATGTATCCCTGCACCCCAACTCTGCCACCCCTTCCCCATGTGTCCCTTCTCCCCTTCCCCATGTATCCCTGCACCCCAACTCTGCCACCCCTTCCCCATGTGTCCCTTCTCCCCTTCCCCATGTATCCCTGCACCCCAACTCTGCCACCCCTTCCCCATGTGTCCCTTCTCCCCTTCCCCATGTATCCCTGCACCCCAACTCTGCCACCCCTTCCCCATGTGTCCCTTCTCCCCTTCCCCATGTATCCCTGCACCCCAACTCTGCCACCCCTTGTCCACGTGTCCCTGCACCCCCTACAATTCAGCCCCCACCTCAATATGTCTCTTGCACTAGCCCTTATGCGTCCCAGTCTGTGACCACCTGAGTAGCCCCAGGTGCCACTGTGATGGCGCAGTCGGGGGTTCCCCCGGTCCTGCACCCCCGTAGCAGTATGAACAGTCTCCACCAGCCAGTAGAATAGAGAGGGGTTTATTGAGTTTCCAGAATACAGCACAGCCCATACGTGATGTGGCTACAGGAGCCAGAGCCAGGATGCCTCAGAGCCTAGGGCTAGGGGTCCATCACCCCCAGATCCCAGCTTAGCCTCTTCTCTCCATGCTTCCCAGACCGCAACTGCCTTCCCCCGAAACCAGACAGGTTGGGGGGTCTTTTGCCTACGTGACCGTATCCATGCTCCAGATACCCTGCAGTGTGCGCCACCCACAGCCCACGGCCCAAACATAGCAACCAGCAAGGTACTACCACCACACCACAGCCGCACACTGTTCATCCCCTCCTCTGCCCCATACCTTGCGCCTCCTAATCTGCCCCACCAACCCAGTGCTATGAGCAAGGCAGCCTCTTCTTTGCCCTATCCCCAGCTGGGGCTGGCTGCTCTCTGGTCTGGCACAGCAGCAAACCCTGGTGACCGAAAGGCTTAACTGCTGCTTAATGATTAGAGGCACTCGGCTTTCACGAGTTTTGCCTCACAGAGGACATCAAAGCTGTAGCTGCACACTTAATTGGAGCCCAGAATTGGCTGATTTCCTCAGGAGGAGATTCTCCCTTAACCACAAATAGTTCCTCAAGAGCAGAGTATTAAGGCCCATCTTTCAGTCATGGGTCATTCCTTCAATTAACCTGTTTGCAGTAAAAGATAACTAAGAAATGTCACCCATTTTGTTCTTGGGCAAATCAGTCTAGGTTCAATAACTGCCAATTTCACGTTGGACTGAAGACCAGATCGAATGTTTGCATGCTTCCTTCATCTTGCAATCCTTCTAGTTCTGGCAAGTCATTCAGAAACTGAAACGAGACCATGGCAAATTACGACGCTTTTCCGGAAAAAGTGCTTTTTGAGCATTTTAAGCATTTCCGGAAAAGGGTGCCAGTGTAGACGTAGCCAGGGAGTTTATTGCTCCTCCAGGATACAGCACAGCACAGATGTAATCTGGTTACAGGAACTGGGCTAGGATGCCTCAGCCCCCCTTGAGATGGGGGAGACCGGGCCCCTAAATTCCAGCCCCTTTCCCTAGGCTGTCTCCTCCATGATCCCAGACAGAAACTAAAGACCGTCCCTTCCAGAGCTGCCCCCCAGCCAGGGGCGGCGTTCCACCTTCCTTTGTTCCTCTCCCTGGGGGGTAACTGGTAGAACAGGTCACCTGTACAGGGCACCAGCCAGTGGGGCTCACCCACAGCCCAAGCCTAACAAAGTACCCACACTGCGTCACAGTGGCACATGAATTCTGCACAGAATTTTGCCAGGAGTGGCCCCTCGCCATTGCGGCTGAACAGAACAGCCCCCTGGGGTGCTGGCTTCCAGCACGTGTCTCCCTGGGGGGTAACTGGTAGAACAGGTCACCTGTACAGGGCACCAGCCAGTGGGGCTCACCCACAGCCCAAGCCTAACAAAGTACCCACACTGCGTCACAGTGGCACATGAATTCTGCACAGAATTTTGCCAGGAGTGGCCCCTCGCCATTGCGGCTGAACAGAACAGCCCCCTGGGGTGCTGGCTTCCAGCACGTGCTGGTTTTCACATGCGAAATCACCCAGACATGGGCTTTGCTTCTAGCACTTTCCCTCCCTGGAGAGCTATAAATCCCGGTCACGTCACTACACTCCCCCTTCCGTGACTCCAGTCGGCCTCCTCTCCTAAACACCCACTTCTCTCTACTTTAGACAGGGCCCCCAGCCAGTGGGGCTCACCCACAGCCCAAGCCTAACAAAGTACCCACACTGCGTCACAGTGGCACATGAATTCTGCACAGTGGCACATGAATCCATTGCGGCTGAACAGAACACCCCCCTGGGGTGCTGGCTTCCCGCACATGCTGGTTTTCACATGCGAAATCACCCAGACATGGGCTTTGCTTCTAGCACTTTCCCTCCCTGGAGAGCTATAAATCCCGGTCACGTCACTACACTCCCCCTTCCGTGACTCCAGTCGGCCTCCTCTCCTAAACACCCACTTCTCTCTACTTTACAGGTGGGATTCACCATTCACTTCCTGGTACCCAGCTGCCCTGTCCCAGAGGCCCTTCCATCTCTTAAGCTTTCCCGCTGTTTACCCAACTGAGACTCTGTTTCCACACTTCTTGGCACCAAGCCCATCCGGCCGCCGCAGATCCGCCTCCCTCGGTGTGTGCACAGTGTGATGACACCACCGATTTGAGGATAAATAAGCCCTTGGTGGCTCCTCTCAGCTGCTACTCTTCGCCGCCAAGGCCTCCCGTCTGCTGCGGCGTCCCCCTTCGTGCTGAGACGCAGCGAGAGCCACAAAGCCGCAACGCACCGAGGAGAGTCTGTGTTGCGGGCGGCAAGGTAGGGACAGAGAGGACCAGGGACGGAGCAAAGTGGAAGAACCACGGGAATTAAGATAATTCTAGAGCATGGGGTCCCAAAACTGGGGGGGCATGTCCCCTTGGGGGGATATGAACAAATTCCAGGGGGGGCGAGAGGTGAAGTTTTGCTGCTATACTTGTTTTTTGGATCCGGTCAGTTTCTTTTTTTTTTGCGCAACAAGTTTTGCTGCTATTGGGGGTAGGCGGCATCATGAGGGTTTCTCAAAAATAAAAATGGGGGCGGGATGCCGAAAAGTTTGGCAATGAACACATATGAAAAGGACAAATCAAATTTCAGAAGAGAAGGGGAATGGGGGAGGGAAGGTAAATGTCTGTGAGCTAATGATATTAGAGGTGATAATTGGGGAAGCTATCTTTGTAATGGGTATGATAATTAATGTCTTTGTTTAAACTTAGGCGTAAAGTGTCGAATTTAAGCATGAATGTCAGTTCAGAGGAGTCTCTTTCAAGTGTGGTCTTAAAAGGTCTTTGAAGCAGGATGCAGGTAATCAAGTCGTTGAGACAATGTCCTTTCTGGTTGAAATGGCAAGAAACTGTTTTTTCTTTGTGATCCTGTCTGATATCTGTTTTGTGGGCATTGATCCTTTGGTGAAGTGTCTGAGACGTTTGTCCAACTGTTTCAGCTACACCAGACTAACACGGCTACATTTCTATCACTGTTCTTTTATACTTCCGTCACCCTTTCAAATGCATTTACCTGAGCGAGACACCTAGATAAAGTTCTTTGTGACTGAGAGCTAGAAGACATGGAGCTGGGATGCAGGGGGGCAAATGCAATTACTTGCTAAGATCAGTCCTGTTTGCTCCAGCCCTTCGTCCGTGCCAAAGACGGGCCAGGTGGCAGCTGATAGCCCATTGGCCTTGATGACACCTGGCTGGGGTGTCACCTTGTCCTGGGTCTGTCAGAAACAGGTTTGCCTCCTCCCCAGGCTTGTCTGGAAAGCACTGGATTTCCTCTCCCGTTCATCACGGGACACAGAACAGAGGCAGCAGCGTGGGTACCAGGCAGGAGCTGGTCCACAAGGGAAACCAATTTAAAAACCAGCTCCCCTCGTGAAGCAGCTGCCTCCCCTGTCCAGGGGAGGGGTTGAGCTTGGTGTGAGCTGGAACGGAGCCGGGCTGCCTGCCCACCTGACTCCTCACACACTTTAAATGCAGAGCCGCAGCAGGGAAAGCTGTGGACCCGTTGCAAGCCAGGACTGAGTCAGGTTGCTGGCCAGCCTGCTAAAAAATGTACCAGCGGGAGGGGCAGAATATGTGTAGTCTATAGCATTCACCAATAAGCTTTTACTTATCAGTTAATTGACTGCACTATTCCATCCCTAGGTCAGACCCCATCAGGCACCCCCCATCTTTTGGCGCCCTGGGCAGCTGCCCGGCTCGCCCATGCCTCTGTCCGGCCCTCGCCCAGCCTCTCCACCACTCTAGCCCTCCCCTGAGCGTGGGTCTTGGTGGAGGCCAATTCGGAAGCTCAGCAGGGAGGCAGAGCGCGAGGGGCGCAGACCGAGGGGCTGTGTTTCCTAATAAGTCTGATATAAGGAGCTCTCACCTGCAGCCTGAATTCAGGTGGCTAGATCCGGTGGGAGCCAGCGCCCCCTTAATGGGAAAGGCCCCAGATCCCATCCCCTGGAACTCACTCTGAGGTTTTCTCTTCCAGCTCCCATGATGCCGGGACTCCTCCCCGCGCTCCCCTGCCTGCTCCTTCTCTCCTTGCCGGGCCCCAGCGCCGGCTCCGACGACGACGGCACCGTGGTGCTCACCACCAGCGGCCCCATCCGGGGCAAGCGTCTCCCAGTCGGCTCCAGCTCAGTGACGGCCTTCCTGGGGGTCCCCTACGCCCAGCGCCTTGGAGCGACGTCTTGGAGGCCACCAGCTTCGGCCACGCCTGCCCCCAGCCTCCGCTCACTGATTCTCCTCAGGCTGAGATATACACACCCAAAACGCCGCAGTCCGAGGACTGTCTCTTCCTCAACCTCTGGGTGCCCTACCCGCAGCCCAACGGGACGGCCCCCGTCTTCGTCTGGATCCACGGTGGGGGGTTCTACATGGGCGCAGCCTCCCTTGACATCTATGACGGGCGCTTCTTCGCCACCACCGAGAACGTGATTATAGTCTCCATGAACTACCCCCCCCCCCCGCCCGCCCCGGGGAACGCCGGCCTGTGGGACCAGCGCCTGGCACTGCGCTGGCTACGGGACAATGTGGCCGCCTTCGGAGGAGACCCAGAACACGTGGTGATTAATGGCCAGGACTCTGGGGCTGCATCGGTCGGTTTCCACCTCCTCTCCCCAGGGAGCCAGTCCCTCTTCGCCCGTGCCGCGCTGCTGAGCGGAGCACCAAACGCGCCAGGGACGTGGGTTTCCCTCGAGGAGTCGCAGGAGAGAGGACAGAGGCTGGCCCAGCTGATGGGCTGTTCCGCTGGGGACAGCACTGCCCTGGTGGGCTGCCTGCAGGAGAAGGATGCAGGAGAGTTCCTCAAATACCAGTTCTCCGTCTTCAGCCACAAACAGCTGCCAAAGCTGCCCTTTGTGCCAACCCCGGATGGGGATTTTCTCCCTGATACACCCCCCCGGCTCCTGCGGGCCCAGCACGGCCCAGCTAAAAGTATCGCAATTGGTTTCAATGCCAACGACGGCTCCTACTCCTTATACCATATCGATCGCGCTTTCGACCCGGACGACGCCAGCTCCATCGGCTGGGAGGAGCTGCTGCAGGTGGTGCGGCTGTTAGTGCCACGCGCACCTGAAGGCACCGTCCAGGCCATAGCACAGCGGTACAGCCTGGAGGGGAAACAGGAGGGCGTGGCACGGTACCGCTGGGCCATGGATCAAATTATGGGTGACTATCTCGTGGTGTGCCCGGTGCTGGAGATGGCCAGGCTGGAGGCGATGGCTGGAAATCCCGTGTTCACGTACTACTTCGCTCACCGCACCAGCGGCTTGCCCACACCTGAATGGACTGGAGTGGCACACGGCTCGGAGGTGCCCTACGTTTTTGGAACCCTGGCGTCCGTGGTAGGAGCCAACTACACAGCGGCCGAGGTGATGCTGAGCCGGCAGGCCGTGGTAGGAGCCACCTACACAGCGGCCGAGGTGATGCTGAGCCGGCAGGCGATGCGGTACACTGTGGCGTTTGACCGGAGCGGGTAAGAGAGTCCCCCTCCAGTCTTCTCCTCCCCCTGAGCCAGACCGCGAGAGCTGCTGTAACCTTTTGGACAAGCGTCCACCAACATCCAGGAAAGCCCGGCTCCCTGCCCGGTCAAAGCAGGGGCCTCTTAGAAAAGCCGTTGAGCTGTTAAGTTGAAGCCCTTAGCCTAGAGCTAAACTCATGGCCACGGATTGGGATGCTCCTCCACAGACCACCGCAAGCATCTTTGCTGCAGGCAAGGTCTTTCCTAGGTGAAAGCCTTCAGGCTCAGGGCAGCCCTTGGACTCTGTCTTTAGAATCCATGGGAAATGGCAGCCATCTTCCTTGAGGGCAGGCTGTGGCTTCTGGGGAACAGTGACAGGTGGCGGCCATCTTCCTTGAGGGCAGGCTGTGGCTTCTGGGGAACAGTGACAGGTGGCGGCCATCTTCCTTGAGGGCAGGCTGTGGCTTCTGGGGAACAGTGACAGGTGGCGGCCATCTTCCTTGAGGGCAGGCTGTGGCTTCTGGGGAACAGTGACAGGTGGCGGCCATCTTCCTTGAGGGCAGGCTGTGGCTTCTGGGGAACAGTGACAGGTGGCGGCCATCTTCCTTGAGGGCAGGCTGTGGCTTCTGGGGAACAGTGACAGGTGGCCCGCCCCAGGGCAGCGTGTGGCTTCAGTCTCGTTGAGCACCGTGGGCGATGGTGGCCATTTTGGGTGAGGGCAGCAGCTGACCTCATCCTAGTTGAAAGGACAAGTGAGAGAGTCCATCTTAAGTGAGGGCAAAAGGTGGCTTGAGACTTGCTTCCAGTTCAGATCCTCCTGTTTGGGCTCCCAAGTTCCTTGGCATCCCCCTGTCGTTTCTTGTCCCCCACCCCACCACACGCACATATATGGTGCTGCTCCCCATGCAGCCCAGTTCCTACGTCTGTGAGCACGATGGATGACCATTTTGCCTGGGGGAAGTCTGGCTTCAGCCCCATTGGAAACAATGGAAAATAGCGGCCATCTGCAGTAAGGGAAGATTCTCTTTCCAAAGGGCCATAGGCCAATGGCAGCCATCATAACTAAGGGCTGCCTATGGCTTCAGTCTCAGGGAGATCAGTGGAACGTAAGAACATAAGAACGGCCATACTGGGTCAGACCAAAGGTCCATCTAGACCAGTAGCCTGTCTGCCGACAGTGGCCAGCACCAAGTGCCCCGGAGGAGGTGGGCCAAAGACAAAGATCAAGCTATTGTCTCGTGCCATCCATCTCCAGCCTCTGACAAACAGAGGCCAGGGACACCATTGCTAATAGCCTTTTATGGACCTAACTTCCATGAATTAATCTAGCTTCTCTTTAAACTGTTATGGTCCTAGCCTCTACTGCCTCCTCTGGCAAGGAGTTCCACAGGTTGACTATGCGCTGTGTGAAGAAGAACTTTCGCTTATTAGTTTTAAACAATAAAGACAGTGGCCATGTTTATAAGGGGCAACCTGTAGCCTTCGGCCCATAGGAAAAGACCGGGTGGCAGCAGACATTTTAACTGAGGGCAGTCTGTGGCTTCACCCTCAATTGGAACAGCACGGGGTGGCAGCCATTTTGGAAAGGGGTCAAACTTTTCAAGCTGGCTCCCATGTTCTCGTCCCTACCAACTTTTGGTGCCAACCACAGCGGGGTGTGTTCATTTTCCGTGCAGGAAACCCATGACGGGGGAAGGCGGCACAAAGCGGTGGCCCAGCTATGACCCGACAAAGCAGAACTTTGAGCACATCGGCCTCAAGCCGCCCCTAGCTGAGACGGCGCCGCACGCCTCGCGCTGTGCGTTCTGGGCCGCGCTGCTCTCGGAGAAACCAAGCGTTGCAGGTGAGCCGTAGCGGGGTGAAAGGGCGGCAGCCCTACGGGTCCCATGTCTCTCCAACCCCTCTGAGCCAACCTATCCCCCAAGCCTGGGGCTGGATTGGAGATGGTGTCCCCGTTCTCCTGCCATGGGGAGCTCCCACATCCCCTAAGAGCTCTGGAACCCGCCTGCTATGGGGCAGCCCCACGTTCCGCCCCATCTTCACTTGCTCAGCTCCTCTGAATGACCATGGTGTTACCTCTCCAGGGTCATCCCACCTCCACCCCCCTTTCTGGGGAGGAGGCGTGAGCTCAGGGACAGGGACCCCCAGTGGGGCGCATGGGGATCAAGGGATGGTTCCAAGGCCACTGGTGGCTGAGGGGGTGGGGCTCCCCATGTCGCGGAAGAGAAAGGAGGCGAGGGAGGAGTGAAATGCTGGGACGCCTGTGTGCCAGGAGGGGGGAGCACTGACTGGGGGGGGGAAGAGCCCTCTTCTGAGGCCCCCTTGCTGTGCGCAGGGGTCAGCACCCCATGTGGAATCCTGAAGCCTCAGGTTTCCGCTGCAGGTCTCTCTGCCCGTCGGCAAGCAGGGCCAAACCCTGCCTAGTCTGACTTCACTCCCCACTGGCATTAACCCCACTCACTGTGTGTCCTGCAGGTGTGGGCTCCGGGGAGTTGGGAATAAAGAGCTGAGCAATCCCAGTCCCTGCAGAGAAGAGCCTCCAGTTCCTGTTAGCGCCTGCTGAATCATTAACGAAGATTCTGCTAATTAACCTGCTGGGGGTCCGTGGCCTGACCCTCCCTCTGCGATTCCTCCATCCCCGGTGCATTAAAGCGTGTTCAGTCTGGAGGCAGAGCCCTGGTTTGTGCAGTTCATTAAAGTGGCTCCTGAGCAGGGGGGACAGAGTATGTGCATGCGTGTGTATGTGTATGTGAGCACACCTCTGTGCATGTGTGAGCACAACTCTGTGCATCTGTGTGTCTGAGAGAACACCTCCATGCATATGTGTGTGTGCATGTGTGAGCACACATCTGTGTGTGTGTGTACATGTGTGAGCACACCTCTGTGTGTGTGTGCCTGTGCGAGAACACCTCCATGCATGTATGTGGGTGTCTATAAAATCATGACGGGGGTGGAAAAAGTGAATCAGGAAAAGTTACTTAATTATTCCCACAATATAAGAACTAGGGGTCACCAAATAAAATGAATAGGCAGCAGGTGTAAACCAAACAAAAGGAAGTTTTTCGTCACTCAGCGCACAGTCAACCTGTGGAACTCCTTGCCAGAGGATGTTGTGAAGATCAGGATTTTCACAAGGTTCAACAAAGAGCTAGATACATTCATGGAGGTTAGGTCCATCAATACTTATTATCCAGGATGGGCAGGAATGGTGCCCGGAGCCTCTGTTTGTCAGAAACTGGGAATGGGCAACAAGAGAGGGATCGCTTGATGATTCCGATTTGTCCACTCACTCTGGAGCACCTGGCACTGGCCGCTGTTGGACGCCAGGACACTGGGCTCAATCAGGGTTTCCCAGCCTGTGGGTCGAGACCCAAATATGGGTCATCATTACATTTCAAAAGGGTCACCAGGTGTCTCCCCATGTGGCCTTTACGGAGCCATTCACACATTTTTTGAATTGCCCTGGGTCAGCAAGTCTTCTTGAATTGTCAAAATAGGTCCCTGTCTGGAAAATGCTGGGAACCGCTGGGCTACATGGACCTTTGCTCTGACTTAGTCTGACCATTCTTGTGTTCTTATGTTCCAGTATCCCCGAGCATTTCTCTCATTGGGGAGGGATGAACCAGCCTGTTGGCTAAATACCCCTCTGTAAATTCCATTCTGCCTGTTCCCCAAAAATCCACGTCTGCTTTATTTGAAGCCAGTCACTTCCTGGCACCCAGCTGCCCCACCCCAGAGGTGGCTGCCTTTAGCGCTGGGCAAAGGAATTGGAACAGTCTCTTCTGCAGCTGTTGTCGATGGCCCCACCCCAGAGGTGGCTGCAATTCAGGGCCCACGGCCCTTTGGGTGAAGATTCTGGCAAGAGGATTTTTATTATTAACATTCACGGGCCGACTGTTCAGAAGCCGGAGTCCCAAGTCAGGGGACTACCAGCCGAAGTCCTGCCTGCCCTTTGGTGAAGACTAGGACTTTCACAGGGTTCAAAAAAGAGCTAGGTAAGTTCAGGGAGGTTAGGTCCAGCAATGCTATTAGCAGGGCTCGCCAGCCGCGTGGAACCACACGCTGCCCGGCCTCGCCAGGCTAAAATCGACTCGCCACGGGCAAGTAGATTCCCTTAATTGTCGAGTCCTGGCTATTAGCCGGGATGGGTAGGAATGGTGTCCCTAGCCTCTGTTTCTCTGGGAATGGGTGACCGGGGAGGAATCATGTGAGGATTCCCTGTTGTGTTCCCTCCCTCTGAGGTATCTAGCACTGGTCATTATCGGCAGCCAGGATATTGGGCTAGACCAAGGGTGGGCAAAGGGGCCCAGGGGTTCCTTCACCCCACGACGGCCCTGCCGGTCCCCCCCCCCCAAGCCAATTAGA